CCCGAATGTTCTATGCAATTTTAGACAGAATCTCTTACATCCTCACTCTGAGAAGTGAGAATATATGACCCAACCCTTTGCTCTATCTTCCAATTTTTTTTCTTTATATTAACATCTTAACTTTCTTTATTTTTAAATATAGCATACACAGAAAAGTGCTCCCACATAACTTAAAAACCCACACATGTACCAATTAATGGGTAAAGTGAACAACCATGTAATGGCTACCCCAGTTAAGAATTAGAACCCCATGTGTTTCTATTTACAACTTTCCTCCCCTTAAGGAAGAAATCACTTTCTTACTTTTCTTTATGAGTTATCACCTAATAATTTATCCCACAGATTTGCCTAGTTTTTTAAACTATATGTAAATGAAATCTTCCTATAAGTACTGTACATTTTGGGAGTAGAATTTCTGAATTATAGAGTATGCATATCTTAATCTATTACAGATATTGCCAAACCATTTTCCAAACTTTGGTATCAATTTACATTCCCCGTGGCAGTGTTTGAGAGTATGCCATATCATGGACAACATTTCTTCCTTTTTTAAAAAAAATTTTTTAATATTTATTTTTGAGAGAGAGAAAGAGACAGAGTGCAAGTGGGGGAGGGGCAGAAAAACAGGGAGACACAGAATCCAGAGCAGGCTCCAGGCTGCTGTCAGCTGACAGAGCCCACTTGGGGCTCAAACCTGGGAACTGTGAGGTCATGACCTCAGCCAAAGTCGGACACTTAACCGACTGAGCCATCCAGGTGCAACATTTCTTCCTTTCGTATACATTGTCAAGAGTGATCATTTATATTCTATTGTGCAACCATAATGTGCTTCTTTATGCTTTGTTCATAGACTGGTTCTAAATTTTAAGAATCTATAAACAGCTTTATTTTATGAGTGTGTAGATATTCCTCACTGCAGAACAGTGTTATGTGCTAGGATTGCATTTCCTTCTCTATGGTTTCAGTGTCATGATAACCTAGAAACAAGACCAACTGTATTCATATTTTATACTTCATCAGTATGAAATAATCAACAAATTCCCACTACATTTGAGTGAAATCCATATATACATGGCTACTGATTTTTCTGGTACAGTTCCTGTTTTTTCCAGGAGTTCCTGATTGTTCCTGTCTTCCCTGCTTCCGTGATTTCACATTCTCATTGTTTACCTCCTACCTTTCTAGCCACTTCTCAGTCTATCTCTTTAATTCTTCATTGTCTAAACATTAATTGTTGGTGGCAATACCCAAGACTATGTCTTAGGTTAGCAGATTTTCAAATTGTGCTCCTAAATCCTTTTTAGGGAATATATAGGGACACTTTTTTTTTTTTTAACGTTATTTCTTTTGTGAGAGAGAGCATGAGGAGGGGGAAGGGACAGAGAAAGAGGGAGAGAATCCTAAGCAGGCTGTGTGTTGTCAGTGCAGAGCCCGACACGGGGCTCTCATGATCATGAGATCATGACCTGAGCCGAAATCAAGAGTCAGGTGCTTAACCCACAGAGCCACCCAGGTGTCCCTTAGGACACTCTTTTAGGGAATCTTTAAGGTTGAGGTCAAAACTGTTTTCATAATAATATTAAGATATTATTTTGCCTTTTCCCCTTGTCAGTATCTGTACTGATGGTGCAAAAGCAATGGTGGATAAATCTGCTGGTGACTCACCACGAATCAAGGCAGTGGAACCAAACTGTACTAGCCCTCATTGTATTCTTCAGCCACACATTCATAGTCAAAACAACAAAAATTCTTGAGGCACCTTGGTGGCCCAGTCAATTGAGCATCTGACTCTTGATTTGGGCTCAGGTCATGATCTCAGGGTTGTGGGATGGAGCCCCCACATTGGGCTGAGCGTGGGGCCTGCTTAGGATTCTTTTGATCTCTCCTGCCCCTCTCCCCTTTGCTCCCTCCCTCTCAAAAAAACCAAAAACAAAAAACAAAAATTTCAAGCTTCACCTAAGAATGTCCTTGATGTCAAAATTATTAATGTGATTAAAACTTAACCCTATAACTGCTTCTTTTAAAAGTTTATTTATTTTGAGAGAGCACAGGGGAGAAAAGAAGGAGAGAGAGAATCCCAAGCAGGCTCCATGCCATCAGCATAGAGCCCGATGATGCACCGTGAGATTATGACCTGAAAGCAAGAGTTGGATGCCTAACTGACTGAGTCACCCAGGTGCCCCTTAAAGGAGTCTTTTAATATTCTGTGTGATGAAATAGGAAGGGTACATAACTCACTTCTGCGGTATATCAAAGTATGATGGTTGTCTTGAAGAAACGGACTAGATTGAGTGGTACATGGACTAGCTCCTTTCTTCATGGAACCCATTTGTACTTGAAAGAACACCTGACAACAGACTAGGTTTACTCATGCTTAGATAATTTGGCAGACATTTTCCCAAAAATGAATGAAGTGAATCCGTCATGTCAATGGAAACAACTGATGATACCAGTGATAATATTCAAGCTATCAAGAGAAAATTAGAATTTGGAAATCTTGTAACTACAGCATGAGCTCAACAGCTTCCTAATGCTTGAAGACTCTTTTCTGATGAGATCAGTAGTGATTTTAATAATATAACTTTTTGATACTGTGTAATGAAGTGTGTCAACATTTGGAAGGGCTGCATAACGAAGCTAATATTTTTTCAAATGACTAAAAACATTACCAAATCATACATTGGTAAGACAAAGGGTAAGAAAGGCTATTGGCTTTCTTTTTCTGACTTAAAATGTTTTTACTATTATTACATAGTACTTCAATATGAACAATCATATTTATTACAATTTAACCATTTGATTCCAAGGCAATCATAAGCACTAGTGAAAATATGTTACTTAGAAAATGATTCAGCATTATATGGATTTTCTGGATCAGGATGTGGTAAACTATGGCCCATGGGCCAAATCCTGACCACCACCTATTTTTACACAGGTGCAAGCTAAGAATGGTTTTTACGTTTTTTTAATGGTTGAAAAAAGAGTTTTGGGGACACATAAATACTGTATGAAGTTTGAATTTCAGTTCCATAAATAAATTTTATTGGAATACAGCATGCTTATTCGTTTACATATTGTCTGTGGCTGCTTTCGCACCACGAAGGCAAAGTTGAGTAGTTGTGAGAGGAACCATATGTGGTGCTGTCATCACTCTGTCCTATTGCTAAAAGGCAAATATCAAGAGAGAAATCCAATAGAATTCCATAAATACTCCAAATGATGATGAATATGTTTAATTAAATGCATTTGCTTATAAATGGGTATCAGTTTTTGGCAATACTTATCTGTATGAAAAGACATTTTCAAAGTTGAAATACAGTGTATAAAATCTAATTACAGGTCAACATTAACAAATGAGAATTTGGAACAGATTTTGAGGAGAGGTCTAGACACCAGCCACCAATTCTTTAGTTCTCTATTATCCTACACCAACTGAGTTTCCAAAAATTCAATTCAGTTCTGACCTACCTAGAGTTAGTGTCCAACCTCACAAATTAAAGGACTCATTCCCACAAGTCTGCCCTCACTTCAGATATCAGCCACAAATAGGGTACCCAGGCCACCCAACACTTTTGCCCATCCAACTACAAATCAGTTCCCACAAACCCCTCCTTAGATTGGATAATTTGCTAGACTGGTTCACAGAACTCAGGAAAACACTTTATTTACACTTACTAGTTTGTTATAAAGGATGTAATTCAGGAACAGCCAGATGAAAAAGATAAGGTTATAGGGGAGGAGGTATTCAGAGCTTCCATGCCTTCTCTGGGCATGTCACCCTCAATGTATTCGTGGAAGCTCCCTGAATCTCACCATTTAGGGGTTTTTCTGGAGGTTTCATCACTTAGACTTGGTTGATTAAACCATTGGTCATTGTGATTAACTGAACTTTCAGCCCCTCTCCCCTATTTTACTGACTATACAATAAAAGCTAAAAAAGCAGTGTATATGTTGCCAAGGTAATTTGCAAGACCACCATGTTTATTAGTGAAAACAGAATCCTTGATGTCCCTGCAGACTCCAACCTGCTCACCAATTTTCAGAGGGAGAATGGAAGACATGGGGTGACAGAGGTTCTTGGGGTGTTTGAGCCTGGAGATGAGAAAAGGACTCAAACAGGGAGCAAAGGGACAGACTTAACAGGAACAGCAGCTGCATAAAAACCCTCTTCTTGAAGGATTTCTCAGGGCAACAAGCAAGAATTTGACCAGGCCAGGACACCTAGGTGGCTCAGTCAGTTAAGCGTCTGACTTTGGCTTGGGTCATGATCTCATGGTTTGTGGGTTCGAGCCCCATGCTGGGCTCTGTGCTGACAGCTCAGAGTCTGGAGCCTGTTTCGGATTCTGTGTCTCCCTCTCTCTCTCTGTGCCTCCCCACTTGTGCTGTGTGTCTTTCTCTCAAAGATAAACATTAAAAAAATAATAAAATTTTAAAAAAGGCGGGGGCGGGGTACGACCAGGCCACCAGTCTGGTCCTAGGTCATCTGTGAAAGGAAAAATGTGCACCCAGTCTGGGGCCACACTGCTACCTGGAGCCTTGCTTGCCCCTGCTGGCTTTGCAGCTGAATCAACTCTTTTTTCAGTAACATGAGCTTTCTATCCAGAAAACTGGAAGACATCTTTATAGGCATAACCTTAAACCAACAACACTTGTACAGCCAACGCTTCTTCAGGCTTCAGAGGAAATGTCTCAGTCGCTGTCTTCTAAGCCTGTCCCTGAGAGGGATTTCTTTCCTACTGATCCTCCTTTGGCTAGAATAGTGGCAACACGGAGTTGCATGGGATATAAGTTACAGGGGGCAAGAGCTTCAGTGCCTTGCTTAGCAGGAGGAGTTGGAGCCAGAGCAGCTTCCAGCTGCAGCCATGGAAGTGGGATCTGCTGGGCATGAGAACCTGTGCCTGAGGGAGCAGAACCTTATCCTCATCCATGGGGGGTGACCTGCACCACGTGGAAGGCAGTGGCAGCATTCTTCTGGGGGGCCTGAATTGCCTCAGGGTGGCCTAGGCCAGGGGGCCAGCACAGCAGTGGCCGTGATTCCTTGGCATAGATTTGCATCTCCACCCATCGCTAGTCATCCCACTCCTAGAAATTTATCATAAGCCATTAATCTCAAAGAAAAAACAAAAGTGACAGCATTTGGGGCACCTGGGTGGCTCAGTTGGTTAAGCATCCGACTTCAGCTCAGGGCATGATCTCACGGTTTGTGAGTTCGAGTCCCGCATCGGGCTCTGTGTCTGACAGCTCAGAACCTGGAGCCTGCTTCTGTGTCTCCCCCTCTCTCTACCCCTCCCCTGCTCAAGCTCTGTGTCTCTCTGTCTCTGTATAATAAATAAACGTTAAAAAATTTTTTTTTAATGACAGCATTTGTTTTTTTATGTTTGTTTGAAATAATACATCCTATGGTAAAGTTTTTTTTAACAATAAAGGTCATTGATAAGTTTGAGTTGTTGTCCCTTCTATTCTTACTTCCCTGATACTCTATATCTTCCAGTTTTTTTCTCTGCATATATATATATATCCATTTTTCCATACTGTATATGATTTCAATTAATAACTCTTTGACATCTTTATGTAAGTGTAAAGGTAAAACTACTGATAAAAAGCTGAAGATTTCTAGACCCTACTAAGTGGTTTTGAATAATCTAAGTTCTGCCCAGGTTTTTCTTTGTGTGAGGTGAATTCATATGTACTTACCTCCAAATGGAAGTACCAAAACATTCTAAGTAAGAATAATTTGTTCTTTTGGTGCCATTGCTCTTCTTCATTATTGGTAATAGAATATAACCTCTCTGATTAGGGGAGTATGCAGATAATGTTATTGTTCTTGTGCAGCAGTCAGATCATTTAGTAATTGGCAAATGGCAGGGTGCCTGGCTGGCTCAGTGGGTAGAGCATGTCACTTTTGATCTCATGGTCCTGAATTCAAGCCCCATGTTGGGCGTGGAGCCTACTTAAAGATACATTGGCAAATGGCTACTGTTGATAAGTCATTCAAAACCATATAAATTTCTATCAATAACTATCTTTTTTAGTGATTCACAAAACTTTTTAATTACTAAATCATATTTTATAGTGGAATTAACATCAATCTGTTTTTTTGTGTTGCAGCACTTGTAGTTTCATGGGAATGAATAATATTCATAGTAAATAAATGGGTTTCTAAAAGAAAAGCAAAGCTGGAGGAATCATAGTTCCAAACTTCAAGTTATATTATAATCCTGTAGTAATCAAAACAGTGTGGTGCTGGCACAAAAATCTGGCATATGGTACTTGCACAGGCCATTAAAACAGAATAAAAAGCCCAGAAATGAACCCACACCTATATGATCAATTAATCTTACACAAAGCAGAAAAGAATATCCAATGGGAAAAAGACTGTCTCCTCAACAAATGGTGTTTGGAAAACGGGACAGCAACATACTATACAGAAGAATGAAACTGGACCACTTTAACACCATATACAAAAATAAATTCAAAAGGGATTAAAGACCAAAATATGAGACTTGAAACCATAAAAATCATAGAGGAGAACACAAGCAGTAACCTCTTTGACATCAGTTGTAGTAACTTCTTTCTAGATATATCTCTGGAGGCATGGGAAACAAAAGCAAAAATAAACTATTGGGACATCATCAAAATAAAAAGCTTCTGCATGGCCAAGGAGAAAGGAGACAACAAAACTCAAAGGCAAGATATTGGCAAATGATGTTTCTGATTAAGTGTTAGTATCCAAAATATATAAAGAACTTATAAAACTGAGCACCCAAAAAATGAATAATCCAATTAAAAATGGGCAGAAGACATGAATAGTCATTTTTCCAAAGAAGATGTACAGATGGCCAACAGACACGTGAAAAGATGCTCAACATTACTCATCATCAGGGAAATGCAATTTAAAACTACAATGAGATATCATCTCACACATGTCAGAATGGTTAAAATCAACAGTACAAGAAACAATAGTGCTGATGAGAATGTAGTGAAGGGGAACCCTCTTGCACTGCTGGTGGTAATGCAAACTGGTGCAGCCACTCTGTAAAGCAGTATGGAGGTTCTTCCAAAGTTGAAAATACCCTACTATCCAGCAATCACACTAGTAGGTATTTATGCAAAGAGTACAAAAATACTGATTCAAAGGGATACATGTACTCTGATGTTTACAGCAGCATTATCTACAGTAGCCAAATTATGGAAGCAGCCCAAGGGTCCATTGATTGATGAATGGGTAGAGATTTCCTGTTTCTTGGCTATATATATATATATATATATATACACACACACACACACACACACACACACACACATATATATGTAATATAGATATCTATATATCTATTATATCTATAGACATATATATATATATATATAGATATAATCTCCTTACCTTTTCACCTGACATTATATATAACCTTAGGAAATCTTGAAGGAAACTCTTCTTAGTCATTATCATTGATTGATAGGTTAAAAATCCATTTTTTAAATTTCCTTTTATTTATGTATGTATTTATTTGTTTATAAAGTTTATTTATTTATTTTTGAGAGAGAGGGAAAGTCCAAGTGGGGGAGGGCAGAGAGAGAGAGGGAGAGAGAGAGAATCCCAAGCAGGCTCCACACTGTCAGCACAGAGCTCAATGTGGGGCTGGAATCAGCAAACCACAAGCTCATGACCTAAGCCAAACTCAAACGCTTAATCAACTGAGCCATCCAGGTGCCCAAAAATTTCCTTTTATTTTGAACAACTTAGAAATAAAGTTTCAAGATTTTTAGTTTCTCATTTGTCAGTTAAAATGTAAGTAAGAAAATATAGGAAGATCAGAGATAAGTCCTGACTCAATCAAGGTACAAAATGTGGGGTGAAATCATAACATTTTAGAGTATCTTTTTAAGTATGTATGATTAGATAATGTTACTTTGAGTATTTTGTCCAAGGACAGTAGTATTTAATTTAAAAACCTCAGTAAAAGTATGGGTGTTTACTATGAAATACCAGATATTACTGTAATTTAACTGGACACTTGGAAAAATATATACTCCATAGAAGGCTATGTATTATGTTGATATCTATGTCTTAAAAAGATGAACTACTTAGAACACTTAATGCCTAATTTAAAAAATAAAATTCCAAGACTGAAAATTTAATAATAAAATAATAAAAATACTCCTCTTTTTTTGTTTAACAATGTTCAAACAAGGTTATCAATCAGAAAAATTAAAGACAGTCAATTATGAAATCTTTCAGTTTTACAATAAGTTTTGAAATTTTTCTTTCCTGTTCAAGGAATTTGTTCTGTGATCCCTTTCCCGAATGAATAGTTTTTTTCTCCTGGATCATTCTCATCAATATATAGACAATATTTAATTTGTCGAAATTTTAATTTCCCCATCTAGTCACTGCTGGCCTTTCTAGCAGTTTCCCAAAGAGAAGCTTATAGTTGGTTGCTATCTTTGCATCCTGGTCCCTCCCCTATTCACTATTTTTTTTCCCCTTTAGAGATTTTTCAATAGTACATTTATAACTTTTTTCTGAAGTTGTGATCATTTTCTGAAGTTGTGTACATTTTAAGTGTACAGTTCAGTGGCATTATGTGCATTCACATTGTACAATCATCACTACCATCCATCTCCAGAAATTTTTAATCTTCCCAAATTCTGTATTCAATCAATATTGATCAATAAGTTCCTATTCCCCTCTCCTCTCATCCCCTGGCATTCTACTTGTTGTCATCTACTCCTCTCATCCCCAACATTCTACTTGTTGTCTCTGAATTGACTACTCTAGATACCTCATGTTAGTGGAATAATATATTATTTGTCTTTTTGTGTCTGGCTTATTTCACTTAGCTTAATTTTTTCCCAAGGTTCATCCATGTTGTAGGGTTTGTCAGAATTCCATTGCTTTTTAAGACTGAATCATATTCCATTACATATATGTTTTGTTTTTTCATTCATATCCCAATGAACATTTGCGTTGTTTCCACCTTTTGGATATTGGGAATAATGCTGCTCTGAATATTGGTGTATAAGTGTCTGTTTGAGTTCCTGCTTTCAATTATTTTCGGTAGATACTCAGAAGTGGCATTGCTGGATCATATGATAATTCTATGTTTAATTTTATGAGGAAAGGCTATACCATTTTACATAGTGGCTGTACCATTTTACATTCATACCATCAACACACAAGGGTTCCAGTTTCTCCACATCCTCACCAACAGTTGTTATTTTTCATTTGTTGAAGCCATCCTAATGGATGTGAAATGGTATATCACTGTGGGGTGTGTGTGTGTGTGTGTGTGTGTGTGTGTGTGTGTGTGTGTGTTTAGAAGGAGAGAGTGTAAGCAAGGGAGAGGGGCAGAGGGAGAAAGAGAGAATCTTAAGCAGGCTTAGCCCTTAGACAGATGCAGGGCTCAATCTCACGACCCTGGGATCATGACCTGAACTGAAATCAAGTGTCAGTCACTCAACCAACAGGGCCACCCACGTGCTCCTCACTGTGGTTTTGATTTACATTTCCCTGGTGATCTTGTTATGTATGTACTTCAAAAAAAATTTTTTTTAACATTTATTCATTTTTGAGAGTGAAAGAGACAGAACATAAGTGGGGGAGGGACAGAGAGAGAGGGAGACACAGAATCCAAAGCAGGCTCCAGGGTCTGAGCTGTCAGCACAGAGCCTGATGTGGGGCTCGAACTCACAGACTGTGAGATCGTGACCTGAGCTGAAGTTGGATGCCCAACCAACTGAGCCACACAAGCGCCCCAGTCTTGTTATGTATTTATTGGCCATTTGCATCTCTCCTTTGGAGAAATGTCTATTCCAGTCCTTTGCTCATTTTTAAATTGGGGTTTTTGTTGTTGTTGAGTTGCAGTTCTTTAAATGCTCTGAATATTAATCCCTTATCAGATATATGGTTTGTAGATATTTTCTCCCATTCTAGTTGCCTTTCTTTCTTGATAGAGTTCTTTGATGCCTAAAAGTTTTTAAATTTTGATGAAGTCCAATTTTTCTTTTGTTGCTTGTGCCTTTGATGTCATATACAAGAAATCATTGCCAAATCCAATGTCATGAATCTTTTCCCTCTGTGT